GGATTGGCGTTGAAGCCGAATAGTGAATAAGGGGTCGGGGAGAGATCCGATTTGGAGAAGTCGAGTTTGGTGAATGTCTTGTAGTACATAACCTCCGATGTGCTCCCTGGATCAATGAGTACACGCTCAACTGTGAATCGATTTACGTGTAACTCAATTACCAAGGGATCGATGTGGGGAAGTGTCACTCCGACCAAATCTGAATCATCAAAAGCAATGCTCGCAACTTCATGGGGCCATTTAGCCGGAGTGAGTTGGCTTTGAGGGTTGGGATTTGACTGAATCGTATGCACCGCGGATGACATCGACAGGCTGTATATCATGTGGATCACGCCGAGAGGAGGGGAATCTTGTCTTAAGGCTATTGCTTTGGTTGAGTTATCTTTTCGGACGTACTGTTGTAGCCGACCATCTTGTACCAATTTCTCCAAGTGATCCTTCAATGCATAACAACTCTCAGTATCATGGCCATGGTCCTTGTGATACTCACACCGTCTATCTCGTCTTCTGGTGTCGGGAGGTCCCACCATTTTGGACGGCCATTTGAAGAATGGACGGTGTTGGACTTTGGACATAACTGCGCTGATCGGCTCTGTCAACTCTGTAAATTTCTTGTCGGCGCGCCTCGTGCGCCTGCTATCAACTTGCAGTTGTTCATTTACTCGGTGGGAGCATTGGTCGCTTGATCAGTGGGAATCTTGTCTCTTGTCTCGTTTAGCCCGATGCCGTGGTTCAGAGCTCTGAGGTGGTACAGAATTTATTGGCTGAGCAATTTCAGAAGGGGTCGTCTTGTTGGCCACGTTTTCGGCTTTAACCCGCAAGGCGTCATCCTCCACTTTGCAGTATTTCTCAACTTTCTTCATCAACGACTAAAGTATTTTGGGGGGTCTTCTAGTCAAGGAACTGAGGAGAGCACTGTCAGGATGCAAACCCATTTTGAAGACGGTGATGGCCATGGAGTCGTTGCAGGCGTCATTGACAAGATTAAAGCACTCCCAATAGCGCGCCGAATACACTCTTAGTGTTTCTCTTGGCTGGATCTGCATTGCCCAGAGAGAGTCGGCTTGTTTTGGCTGGACCTCGCTGGTGATGAATCTGGCCCTAAAGGATTTCTGTAATTGATAGAAGCTTTTGATTGAAGCCGGCTCCAGTTTATAATACCACTTGACAGCCAATAGTCCCAAACTACTGGGAAATATTCGGCACATGAGGGCCTCGTTGTCTGCATGTAATGTCATGGCTTGCTTGTAGTGATAGATGTGATCGGTAGGGTCTGATTTTCCATCATAGAGAGTGAACGACGGAGCTTTGAACTTTTTGGGCAGAATCGCCCTTGCAATCCGTCGCACAAAGGGATCATGCTGGTCTTCCTCATCTGAACTGTTTCTTCTGCGCTGATGCCTTATACGTGGACTCTTTTTAGAGGAGCTGGAAGTCTCGGGTTGTCCCTTCTTCTTGGGCTCCGGGGATAATGAGTCGGAGTCGCTATCAGTGTCTTGTTGTCGGGCTCGAGGTCGTTGACCACTTGCTCTCAGAGGTCGTTCCAGATCTTGGCGTACAGCTTGTTTGGACTTTGCCACTTCCAAGGCCAAGTCCTGATGGAGACGTTCGTTCTCAGCGATCATGTTCTCCAACCTCTGTTCGTTTTGCTTCGCTTGTTCCATGATCGCTTGCATTGCCTCATGCTCTGAAGTCGAGGGTGAGGCGAAGTTCAAAGCGCGTCTTGCGGGGATAGTCTCCGGTCCAAGCATGTTTGTTGGAGTAAGGTCGTCTCTCTGCATGGTTTCATCAGTGACTATCGAAGGGTCTTCCGTTACGCTAGCCATGGATGTGTTTGAGTATTCCCACAGACGACGCCAATTGTAGAGAAGTGGTTTGGAAATACTCTTCAGATCCTGACGGACGCTCGTGATCCTCAGCTAGCCACCTGAAAAAGAATTAACACTCCGGTCAGGGGTGCCGGAATTAGCATTCCGACGGGCAAGTCAGTCTCTACTTTCTGAATTAGTTGTATTTTAAGTTAAGCGTAATGGTTCTCACATACCTTTCTCTGACTAAAGATCCTATATTTATAGTATTCTCTTGGGCCCTAGGGCCTGGCCCATCCCTGATCCTTTACATGTACTTCTACTCGACCTTTTTTCTACTGCTCCGAATGCCGACTATTTTATTCGGCTCTTTAATTGACTAGGATCAATGTCGAATAGAAGTTATGTTTTGGACCGGACTGGTCCATTCGTCTCTATTGATCCAAGGAAATTCGGCTCCCACAGTTAGGAATCATGCATATTTTTCTAACTTTTTTTGTTATCTTAGCTTGAAGTACTAGGTGAGTTTTAATGCTTTAGCATGCTTGCATGAGTGTGAGTGACTGCCATGACTAGCATGCTTGCCATGAGGGTAAGTGCTTACTTGTTAAACTGTTTGAGTGCTTGTGGATGAAGGCTTGTTGCTTGAATTGAAGTGATTCAATGAATGTACGTTTAAAGCCCACTTTGTCAAGTGGCAAATTCACAAATTTTAAGCCCATTTTGTTAAGTGGCAAAATCAAATCATTTTTAAAAAACAAATATGAAATTAAATTGTTCCAATTCGGGCAAACTAGTCTATACCTTGCTTGTGCGCATCACATAGTAATGCTAGCCTAATAAACCGGAACAAGAGCATATAATGTACATAAAAATCATATCATGATTAGTAGAAGCCGATCTTTGATCGGACGAGTGGGAGTGCTTAAATGTATTCATGATCTTCCCCCCTCGTACCTAAGTTCTCGAGCCGAGACAATCTTGGTGCTGACAGACACATGGCCTTTGGCACAAGTCATGAGTTTCCTAAATTTCCTCAAAATAAAATATTTAGGTGGCGACTCGGTATTTAGAAAAGTAGTCTATTTTTGGCAATTTGATTCAAAATCGATTTTTCAAAAGATTTGCCGGATTTGGATTCTTTGGTGTTTATCAATTTCACATTGCACTTGTGAGATTAGATTCAGAACCGCGAAAGTCCGAATTGTAGGACTTATTCCGAGCTTCCAAAAGGGGGTGCGGAAAAGTCAAGCTACACTATGCGTCTCGTTTCAATGGTCCGAACCGTTTAATATGTAGAGCTCATCAAATACTTTATACTTGTAAAAAATCACATTGATCGGATATCGATAGCCCTTGATCAGAATATTTTTTTCAATGGTAAATATGATTTAAAAATAAATTGTTAACAAAAATGTGTTCCGATAAAAGGGCTACCAATATCCAATTAATGTGATTTTTTACAAACATAAAATAATTGACAAGTTCTACACATTCAACGATTTGATTTATTGAAACGGGACTCATGATGAATTTCACGGATCTAATAATACATTCCAATCCACTATGTAGACTGGAGAGAAACCATCTCCTTTATTTCTAATGAGTTAATTACCTAAAATCTTATTTACAAACATTATGGTAGTTCAAGTTCTATTTATGATTTTTTGAACCAATAAGTCCTATTTAGTAAAACTAAGAATATTATCCGTTTTTTTTTTTCAATTTTTAAAATTAAGAACATTATCAATTTTGCATAGTAATGTTTTAAATAATTGTTTCACTAACTGATAAAAAAACAGAGCATGAGATTAAATATTTTTGCCTTTCTACTTATTGGTTTGATTTAACTATCCAATAAAATTAAAAATATTAACAGTTTTTTTTTTCTGCTTTAAAACTGCGAATATTATTAGTTTTTTTCATTTTTAAAGTGTTTTTTTTTTTTTCTAATTTTGCACATCAATGTTTCATCATCATGCTCCTTTATAGACACAAAATTTTTAATTTTGCACAAAAAAATAATTCAATTTTTTCAAAAAAAAACACATAATTTTTTTTATAGTTATTTGTTTTTTCAATTTTTAAGTTGACACTTTAAAATTTTGAAAATCAAAATAAATGTCAAATTATCATATTCCTTTATAGATAATTATAAATGATGAACAATTACTATTTGATAGACAATTTCGACTATTAAAAATTTAATGAGACTTGAAAATTAAAAATTTTTTAACAGTTATGCTATGTAGCTCGAATCTGCCCTTCCCCGAATCCCCCCGAAATCAAAACGACGTCGTTTCGTCGTTTTAATTTTTTTTTTTGTTTTCCAGAAGAAGAAAATCAAAAAAGAAGAAGGAAGAAGGAAGAAGGAAGAAGAAGAAGAAGAAGAAGAAGAAAAAGAAGAGAGAGAGAGACCGATACCAACATCAACCATTCATCTTCATCATCAACAACATCATCAGATCCAGAAAAAAAAAAAAATTCAACCATCAGATCTAGAAAAAAAAAAAAAATTCAGCCATTCATCTTCATCATCAACATATTCATCAACATCACCATTATTATCATCAACACCAGCCAACAGTTTTATTTTTATTTTTTTCCCTTCATTTCAGATAAAAAAAAATAAAAATAAAATCGGACTGGGCTGCGACGATTGGAGGTAGAGGCGGAGGAGGAGGCGAACGGCGATCGACGGCGACCCTCTCTCTCTCTTCATTTCCTCTCTCTCTTTCTCTCCCTCTTCCTCTTCTCTCTGCGTTTCAGACATAAATGAGGGAAGAAAGAAAGAAAGAAAAAAAAGAAAAAAAGAAAGAAAATGAAACTGCCCAAAACGACGTCGTTTTGGACAGTCGAGGGATTCAGGGAAGGGAGATTCGAGTTACAAATCATTTTTCATTTTTTAATTAAAAGCCTCATTTAGGGAATAATTATTATAAATTATTATATTACTTTTATTTTTTTACCAAAAAATTAAAATATTATTAAAATAACTCATCCCCAAAGGAGATATAAGTTGATAACTTTTATTTTTTTACAAAAAAAATTAAAATATTATTAAAATAACTCATCATATAAGTTGATGGAGATATAAGTTGATAACTTTTATTTTTTTACAAAAAAAATTAAAATATTATTAAAATAACTCATCCCAAAGGAGATATAAGTTGATAAATTAGGATGGTTGTAAATTCCCATTTATTAATAACATTTCTTACTCTTTGCCCAAAAGTCTTTTTTCCGACAATTCTTACCTCCACCACCTGCGATTTTCCTTTGGGGAAAGCCGTTGTTCATTTTCGCAAGAAACAAAGCTGCTCGGTTTAGTCGTCGCAGATAGTGCTTCATTCACGCTGAGAATGATGATGATGGTGATCATATAGAGGGATTCCATAAATTCAAGTAAATTGATCCTCCAGCTTGAAAGTTTCGATGAGGCATTTCATCAAACACTTACCGAGCAACCCATTCTCTCACTACTACTACCCCCTCTCATCATCATCATCATCATCATCATCATCTTATTCACTTTCTTCTCTTCTCTTACCATCAATGTCCACTAATTTCTCGTCCTCTTCAACCTCCTCATATTCATCATCCAATCAACACAGTGGATTCCATGCGTCCCTCTTCTGCACTGTCATCCATCTCTTCCTCTCCTGCGGTCGATTATCCAGAGCCGTTGATGCATTCGCTTCCATGCGGTGGACTTACGGCCTCGTTCCACCCGATCTGTCCTCCTGGAATCGCTTAATTCGCGAATTCAACGCCTCTGGGTTGGTCTCTCAGGTATGGCTCGTCTATTCCGATATGCTCTCTTGTGGGTTTGTTCCAAATGTTGCTACTCGTAACATGGTCATTCACTCTCTCTGCAAAGTTGGAAAGCTTAGCATAGCATTAGAATTGCTAAGAACATCCTCAAACAATATTAAAATTGACACTGTTACTTATAACACTGTTGTTTGGGGGTTTTGCAGCGTGGGTCTTGCTAAACAGGGTTTTGGGTTGTTGTCTGAAATGGTCAAGAAGGGTGTACCTGTTGATTGTTTTACTTGCAATATCTTGGTAAATGGTTTTTGCCGAATTGGGATGTTAGGACGTGCCGAATGGGTCATGGATAGTCTTGTTAATACGGGCGGGATTGGGCGGGATGTTGTGGGATTCAACACCTTGATTCATGGGTATTGCGAAGGAGGCGAGGTCAACGCAGCTCTTGAGTTGATGGAGAGTATGCAAAAGCAAGGTATCTTTCCCGATATTGTTACTTACAACACTCTGATTGATGGGTTCTGCAAAATAGGGGATTTTGCACAGGCAAACAATCTCATTGATGAGCATTTGGGGTCTCAGAGAAGTATATACAATGACGGTGGTACTTGGAAGATTGATGGTACTGAAAACAAGGATTCTGTATTTGGAGGATTGGAGTCGAAACGAAATCTTATCACGTATACCTCGCTTATTAGTGGGTATTGTAAATGGAAAGGGCTTGAGGAAGCACTTATTGTTTATGATGAGATGCTTATGAATGGGTTCTTGCCTGACACAGTAACTTATAGTTCCATTATGAATTGTTTCTGCAAACACAAGAGGTTAGCTGAAGCAGAAGCACTTTTCAAGGAGATGGAAAGGACGGGTGTGGATCCTAATCATGTTTCCTACTCCATTCTCATTGATTCCTTCTTCAAAACTGGAAATGCTATGGAGGCTTTTGCCCTTAAAGGTCAAATGGTAGTTCGTGGAATTGCCTTTGATGTGGTTGTGTTTACCACATTGATGGATGGGCTCTTTAAGATTGGAAATCCTGGTAAGGCAGAGGACATGTTTCGGTCTCTTTTAAATCTTAACTTAGTTCCTAGTCATATTACTTATTCTGCATTGATTGATGGACGTAGCAAATTGGGAGATATGAAGGGGGTGAAATCTATACTGCAAGAGATGGAGGCAATAAACGTTCCTCTGAACATCATTACATATTCCTCTGTTATTTATGGCTACACCAAAATGGGGATGCTTGACGCAGCTGCTAATGTCATGAGTAAGATGGTGTGCCAGAGCATCATGCCAAATGTTTTCACTTATGGTATCCTGATTGATGGTTATTTCAAGGCTGGTAAACAAGAAATCGCTCTTGAATTCTATAAGGACATGAAATTGAGAGGGGTGGAGGAGAATAACTTCATACTTGATGCATTTATCAACAATTTGAAAAGAGGTGGAATGATGGATGAGGCCGAGGCATTATTTAGAGATATGATGTCCATGGGATTGTCGCCTGACTGTGTTAACTACACTTCTCTAATGGATGGATTCTTCAAAGTGGGAAAGGAGTCGGCTGCTCTTACCATGGCCCAAGAAATGACAGAAAAGAATATAGGGTTTGATGTGGTTGCATACAACGTGTTAATTAATGGACTCTTGAGACTTGGCAAATATGAAGCACAATCTCTTTATTTAGGAATGAGGCAGTCTGGTTGGGCTCCAGATCTTGCAACGTACAACACAATGATCAATGCTTATTGTAAAGAAGGGAACTTGGAAAATGCTATCAAACTCTGGGATGAGATGAAGAACAATGGGTTAATGCCTAATTCAATCACTTTTAACACTATGGTAGGAGGGCTTTGTGAAGCAGGTGAGGTTGATAAAGCAATGAATTTGTTGAATGAAATGAGGAATGTGGGGTTTCACCCTACCCCAACTACTCATAGACTAGTGCTTGATGCGGTTTCTGCTGATAGAAGGGCTGAGAAAATTCTGGTTATGCATAAACAGATTGTAGATATGGGACTTAGACTCGATCAATTAGCTTATAACAATCTCATAAACATCTTATGCAGAGTAGGGATGACAAGAAAGGCAACTTCAGTATTAGAAGAGATGACAGAAAAAGGCATTTCAGCTGACACTGTCACTTACAATGCTCTTATACACGGATACTGCAAAAGTAGCCATTTAAAAATGGCTTTTTCCATGTATTCTCAAATGTTGAGTGAAGGAGTTTCACCTAATATTGCATCTTACAATTTTCTTTTAGGGGGCCTCTTGGCTTCTGGTTTTATGCATGAGGCTGCTGAATTAATTGATGAAATGAAGGAAAGAGGCTTTGTTCCCAATGGCAATACGTATAATGTTTTGGTTTCTGGTTATGCAAAGATGGGAAATAAAAAAGAATCTATAAGGCTATATTGTGAAATGGTAACCAAAGGCTTTATTCCCCAAACAAGTACTTTCAATGCGCTTATTAGTGATTTTGCCAAGGTGGGAAAGATGAAGCAAGCTAGAGAGCTTATGAATGAGATGCAAGTACGAGGGGTACCACCTAATTCTTCTACTTATGACATAGTAATTAGTGGCTGGTGCAAGTTATCAAAACAGGCAGAGCTGGACAAGATGTTAAAAAAATTGTACCGAACTGAGGCAAAGAAGTTATTCAAAGAGATGGATGAGAAAGGTTTTATTCCATGTGAAACTACCCTTAACTATATCAGTTCTGTCCTTGCAAAACCGGGAAAGAAGGCAGATGCTCTGAGGTTGTTGGATGGATTGTACAAAAGAAAGAGCAGTAAATAGATTAGTAAAAAAAAATGAGGGAAATCTTGTCTTGAAAGTGCCAGCTTGTCCACAGCAATTGAATGTTCTACTTCAGCTACTTGAGTACTTCATAGTTCGTATGGGTGTCTGGCTCTTAAATGCATCACATAAGGTATGAAATACTGAGGTTCGCAAATTTTTTTAACTGATAAACAGTCTGTTTCCATATTTAACAGAACTAGCATAGGCTAGCATTTAGCAGTCTATCTCAAATAATGAGATGCAAGTACGAGGGGTACCACCTAATTCTTCTACTTATGACATAGTAATTAGTGGCTGGTGCAAGTTATCAAAACAGGCAGAGCTGGACAAGATGTTAAAAAAATTGTACCGAACTGAGGCAAAGAAGTTATTCAAAGAGATGGATGAGAAAGGTTTTATTCCATGTGAAACTACCCTTAACTATATCAGTTCTGTCCTTGCAAAACCCGGAAAGAAGGCAGATGCTCTGAGGTTGTTGGATGGATTGTACAAAAGAAAGAGCAGTAAATAGATTAGTAAAAAAAAATGAGGGAAATCTTGTCTTGAAAGTGCCAGCTTGTCCACAGCAATCGAATGTTCTACTTCAGCTACTTGAGTACTTCATAGTTCGTTTGGGTGTCTGGCTCTTAAATGCATCACATAAGGTATGAAATACTGAGGTTCGCAAATTTTTTGAACTGATAAACAGTCTGTTTCCATATTGAACTAGCATAGGCTAGCATTTAGCAGTCTATCTCAAATTTCTAAATGTTTGGTCCTTGGTTTTGTCAGGATCATTCAAAACTATTGATAGTTGATGACTAATTTTAAAGCATGTGCCATACCTTCTGCCACCGGCCACTGACTCTGACATCTTCATCATCATATGGTCATGAAATCATGCAAGTGAGCAGCTCTTGCTGCCAAGAGGAACTTATTGACAGAGAAGAAGTGACGACTTTCTGCAAAAAGTAAGGAAATTCTTCCAGGTTTCTGAGATTTTCCAGAATGATTATCATTTATGAGTAGTGGTCAATAATCTCTCTTTCAATAAAAGAATCAGTATCTATAACTTGGTCATAATGCATGTCATTCTAAAGATCCTTTTTTCTTTTGGTGTCTGTCCCGATTTCTCTTGAAACATTACTTGTTCTAGTTTTTTGTTTTTTTTTTGGTCTCTGTCTACTTTTTCCTATAATCATCCTATACATTGATCAAATTTGGTTTGTTGTTTATTTTAATAGCAAAATTTGATGGAGTTTCATTCTTTTTATTTATTTATTTGTTCTTTCTAGTTTGGATCGAATAATTCATAACATTATGCTCCATGATCTTCTGAACCATTCTGGATATAGCTTCAAAATTCATACCCTTCGCTTACACTTTTGTTACTGGGGTTCTTTGTGGCTGCTGACGCAAGTCTAGTCAACTGATCTTTTATGGTAGAAAAATGATCAAGAGTTTTTAGTCTAAAATTTACAAATGACGTCCGGTTGTTTGTTGAACCTTCTAATGGGAACATTGAAAATGTCTACAAATGATGTCCCCGATTGGGAGGTTTTCCTTGGAGGTTGCCAGCTATGGGTGTTTGTTGTTGACATTCACGGTGGTGTTCGGCCATGGGTGGTGTTTGTGTTCGTGTTCATGTTCGGCCATGGATGGGTGGTGTTCGTCCATGGGAGAGGTGGTTTCAGACTTATCACCTCTGGCGGATTCAAATCCTTCAAACCCTTCTGGGTGTCTTTTCTGGTGGTGTTTCGGCCATGGATGGATGGTGTTCGGCCTTGGGAGTCTTTCAACCATGGGAGAGGTGGTTTTAGATTTATCGACTTCGGCGGATTTAAATCCATCTAGGTGCAAGTTGGGGTCTTGCTGGTGGAAGTTTGGGTCTGCAAATGGATGGTGGTCGGTAGTGGACGCGTTGTAGAGTGATGGATGACAGTGGTGTAGGTGATGGAGTCTCAGCAGAGGAAGAACATGGAGCATGTGGTATTTCGGCAGTGGACGCGTGGGAGGTCAGAATGGTTGGTGTGGGAGTAAGGTGTTGTGCTTTGGGTAGTGTGGGGAACATGTGTTAGCGTGTGGGAGACAGTAAGTGGTGTGGGGGATTGAAGGGTTTGGGAGATTCAAAGCATTTGGCTGTAGTGTAGTTAAGATCTACTTAACTAGTTTTGTTTTTTATTTTTGTTTCTTTATAATTAAAAAAAAACTTGTGAGGCTGAGGGGTTGGTTGTGTGGATGCGAGTAGCAGTAGTAGAGGTATTTGTACTTTCTGAATCTCTCTCGGTACACTTCATTTCCTTGTTCCTTTAATTTCATGTTTTTCATGAAATTTTCACTTTGCTGATCAAAAAAGAAAAGAATATGTGTGCTTCTTCCCTTCATACTCAAAAAGGCTATTAAGGTAACCTAAATAAGGTTTTGTCGCAGATATTCAATCTAGGAGATGATAGGTTGGGGCTGCAACTATTTTTGTTTTGGTTGTCAAGGTTGGTTAGCCTTCTAAAGTACTGTGGGCTCCCTCTTGGGGTAAACATTTGACACCTAAATATAGTTGGTTTAAATGATGAGAAACTTAACTGCTATTTGGTAATGTTTACAGTTTATTGTTGGTAAAACAAAAGCAAAAAAAACATGTTTGGTACATGTATGTGTTTTAAAATTTTGTTTTGTAAACAAGTGAAAGGGGTGGCCAAAGGTAGTTGTCAACAGTCGTAGATGGTGGTTGGATGTGGTTGTTGGCTGCGTGGAGGTGGTGATCAAAGGTTGTTGGTTGCCGCCAGAGGTGGTTGGCAGTTGCCAGAGGTGGTTGCCGACGGTTAGAGATGGTGTTCAACCATTGGAGGTGGTGGCCAAAGTGGTTGTCAGAGGAGATCATCAACGATGGTGGTTGGAAGTGGTGGTTGCCGCTGATGGAAAGTGGTGGTTGTCGGAGGAGATCACTGGTGACAATGGTTGGAGGTGGGGGTGGCTGATGGTGGTGATGACTGGTGGGTGGTCGCCAAAAGGGGTAGGAGAAGAGAAAGGAATGGAATTTGTTTTTTAATTTTTTAATTTTTTTTAATTTTTTTTTGTAAACAAGCTAAACCAACTTTAGTAAATTTTGTAACTGTTTGCAAGTTTTTTGAAAACGGAAATGGATACCAAACAAGTTTTTGTTTACAATTTTAATTTTTTTTGTAGATGTAAACATAAATGTTACCAAGTAGGCCCTTAATGGACCCGTTTGGTAGAGTTGTTGAAAAGTGATTATAGCTTATAGCTTATAACTGTGAACATAAGCTGATTTTTGACTTATAAATTAAGCTTCTTCTCCCTCACTCAAAGAATAAGTTGATTTTTAACTTACAAAAAGCTATAAGTTGTATTGTTAAGTTGAACCAAACATATCAAAATAGCTTAAATTAAGCTAAAAGTTGAAATAAGCCCTACCAAACAGGGCTAATATATGCCTACAATTGTGGTTTTGGATGGAAAGTATTAAGTTGATTGTGACTTTGTTATGTATCTTGATTCCTGATGACTACAGTGGGTTAGCCCTTGAAAGCTTGTGGATGAAAATATATGTTTTGGACTACTAGCTAATCATGGAGAATACTAGTTTCAACCTATTTTATATCCATTGTTTTTGCATAGCTTTTTAGAGAACTTCTTTCATTTTTATTCACAATGCGACATTTTATTATGTTTGTCATTTTTTCAACCTTTAAAGCTAAGCCAATTATAACCAAGGTTGAAATAATTTTTCCAAGGCCGAGTTGCATTTTGTGGGACTAGTAGCCAAAAGTTTTGTGGGGGCCGAATAAATTCGATTACTTTGGAGGCCTGAAGACTAGCCCATTCGGGAATAGGGCCGTATACAAGTCGGCCCAAAACCAGCCCTTCGGTCCACAAGTGGGCTGTAGCCCATGAGAAGGGGGCCGAATACAAGTCGGCCTGTGCCAGGTCTGTCTGGAGGGGGCCGTAGCCGAATAAAATCAAGCTGAAGGGCCGATTGAGCCAAAGATCCTATGGGTCATGGGGGCCCAGTTATGAGGTCAGGATGTCCAGAAGGAGGAAGTGGCCCCCTGGAGAACGATATAAAAGGAGGAGCCTCAATCAAAGAAAATAAAGAAAAAGAAAAAGAAAAGGAGGTAAATTGTGAGTAAAGCAAAATCAAGCATAAGACTACCTTGCTCGTCGGAGTGCTAATTCCGGCACCCTCGACCGGAGTGTTTGTTCTTATTTCAGGTAGCGTCTCAAGGATCAAGAAGGTCTGTTTGGATCAGAGAGTATTTCCAAATCCATTTCACCACAATTGGCACCGTTTGTGGGAATAATCAAGCTCGTCCATGGCAGACATAACAGATGATCCTTTGCTCCTTGAGGACGATGTTACACCAAGAACAACGCTTGGTCCGGAAAATATCACCGCATAAAGAGCCCTGAACTTTGATCCGATAGCTCCATTCATGCCTTCGACCTCGGTGCAGGAAACCATGCAGATGATGATGGACCAAGCAATGCGAAATGAACGTCGTCTGGAAGATATAGCAGCTGATAACGAACATCTACGTAAAGAGCTGGCTCTGGAGTTAGCAAAGTCCCAGTAGACCTTACCACATCATGACTGGGGCCGGTCGCCAGAGAAGAAGAAGGATAATCAATGGCATCGGCATCGGAAACACGATAGTAGTAACACCTCCGACTCATCATCTCAGGAGCCCAGGAAAAATGGGCGAGTTGACACATCCAACTCATTTAAGGGAAGCCCATATGCACGGCACACGTGAGGAAAATGAGATGATGGCTCGGATGTAGAAGACAAACATGATCCTTTTATATGACGCATTGCAAGGGCCGTATTGCCTAAAAAGTTCAAAGCACCGACGTTTACTCTGTATAATGGCAAATCAGATCCTACGGATCACATTCGTCATTACAAGCAAGCGATGACATTGCATGCTGATGATGAAGCACTTATGTGCCGAATGTTTCCTAGTAGCCTAGGCTTGTTGGCCGTCAGATGGTATTATAAACTGGAGCCGGCCTCAGTGAAAAGTTTCTGCCAGCTCAAAAAATCCTTCAGGGCAAGATTCATCACCAATAAGACCTAGCCAAAGCAGGTAGACTTGCTCTGGGCAATACAAATCAAGCCGGAAGAGACTCTCCGTGAATACGGCACGCTATTGGGAATGTTTCAACTTGGTAGATGATGTTGCAATGATTCCATGGCCATCACTGCTTTTAAAATGGGATTACACCCCGATAGTTCGCTCAGAAGCTCGTTGACTAGACGGCCTCGCAAAACAGTTTGGGCCTTAATGAAGAAGGTTGAGGAGTACTGCAAGGTGGAGGATGATTCCCTCCGCATCAGAGCTGGATAGAAGGTTGTGGGGACGGCAACACTTACCCTGGTACAGCCGATAAGTGCTGCACCACCAGAAAGAAGCCCTGAGTCGAAAGGCCGGCCAAAACGAGAGAATCGCCGAGATCTGCGCCGATCGAGTGAACAATAATCATGTCGATCGAGCAAGTAATATCAAGTGGAAAGCAGACGCCCCAGGCGGTCAGACAAGAAGTATACTGAGTTGGCTGAGTCGATCAGCAAGATCCTTCTCAAAATCCAGCATCTACCGTTCTTTAGGTGGCCGGCTAAGATGATTGGACCCCCCCGACACAAAACGGAGGGATCGGCGGTGTGAATACCATAAGGACCACGGGCATGAGACCGGCAGATGCTACGCCCTGAAGGGCCATCTCGAGGAGCTGGTACAAGGTGGCCGACTGGTTCAACATCTCCCCCACAAGGGCAATCCACCAAACACGGTGGCTCTACGCCCGGACTCACCTTCACTTGGTGTAATTCATATGATATAGAGTCTTTCGCCGCCAAACAGTGTACATACGATTCAGCTACAACCATGCCCGTCCAAGCTGTGCACACCAGCCAAATGGCATCATAAGACCGGCAAGATTAGCTTCGACGACA